CCGCGGACCCCCCGCGGACCACCCTGCCCCTCACCCCCCCCTCATAGCCCCATGGATTAGAACCGGCCCTTACTAGCTACTTATCTTGAATAATAAAATATTGTCGCGAGGCCGATGCCCTTGCAACAATAAGCATTTTAAGAACCAATAAATAAGCTCATTCGAGCCGGCTAGGCATTCGGCGTAAAATAAGCAATATCATTATATTCAAAACTACAATAAATCAAAAGACATTAACCGCGGCATACCGAGAATAGTCGCGCAATGCAATTACCGAAATGCTGAACGCTAACGCGGCAACGCGTAGTAAATAAGTACGCGCAACGATAAGCCGCGGGCGGTCAGTCTCTTACTTCCGTCTTGTCACGACGTTTGTGTCGTGAGAGTTAGTCTGTTTATATTCGATAAGGTGAAGGTGCTTAAAGAAATCAAGTCTGTGTAATAAAGTGAGTTAAAGAAAATATATTATCTTAAAAGTCTACACCGAGTGTCGGAATTATTTAACGTGAAGTTATAACCAAGTGAAGTCCCGTTCCCCCGCGGAGTCGGATCCTCTTGTGCCCCTCAACCCCCGGGCACAACAAATTGGTGGCAGCGGTGGGATCCTCATCCGGAAGAAACAGCACCTACAGCCGACATCTCTGGTCACCTGAAACAAAAAAGAAACGAGTGCAATCAGTAAGGCGAAGGATCGAGCCAGCGCAAAGCAGCCGAAGCCAAGCCGATAGCAGCACGCTTGAGTCACCCGGTAGCAGCCACGAGCACGATGCTCGATGCGTAACCTGAGACGGCACCGACCTACCGCAACGGCTCAACTACAGGCACCACTACGAAAGCAGACAGCGGACAACATGCGATTAGCGGTTATACTGTAAGTCCGTAGCAATTAATATAGCGAAAATTAGTCAAGTCGGAAGGCACAAATATGGAACGACGCGAAAGAAATACGTTCTGGTTACACAGCGAACCAGCACGCTGCGCGCTTATACCGATCCCGGTAAATCCCGTGCGAGTAGTAGAAGAGGCAGTTTGCGACATTAGGGATAGCGTGCGTAGAAATTTAAACGCGTACTATTCTGACGAGAGCGAACTCGAGCTCCACCCTAACATCGTAATAGAGCGCGAATTTCAATTCGACGACATTGACACAAGCATAATACAGACAGACGGACAAGATACAAACAGACGCACCCACAGTACGCAGCATCCGCATATTCAGATAGTGCGGTAAGCAGACTCTCGCTCAGAAGGGAGTTCTCGCTGAAGTCGTACGACAGTAACGTATTCGATCCCGAGGAATTTTATACGGCATCAAGAGACGCGATGCACCTAGAAATGTCGCGTCAGCCGCCGACTACACCGCCCGAACAGAAGATCGACCTACCGCCGACTAGCGAAGAAATAGACGCGAAAATAAATCGGCTTCGAGAATCAGCAGTCCCGCGTGCTTCAAGGCAGCCCGGGATTAGCCGCGACGCCGTATTAGGAGATTTACTCGCGGCAATGCAGGCGCTACAATACCGTGTAGACCAGATAGAAGGCTCACGGAATGAGAACCGCATCATCTTCTTGCCTGTGATTGACTGAGATCGAGGAAGAAGAAGAAAGTAGGTGCGTAGCATGCGCTCAGAGATATTCGTCTTTCCGCCGTGTAAGAGTACGGTTTTCTTTTCCGATAGTTCTTCCGCGTACTAAAGTGTATAATCTGCGATAGTAAAGTTATTGAGTATTGGCTAAGTTCGTGTTACATCCTTCTCCCAACCCAATTACCGTATCCCCTCCGTTATTCGCTCGACCTGACACTACAATTCATTACTTATTTTTTTGCGTCTTTTCCGTTCCTACACGTGGATCAACGCACGGCAACGTGACCCAAGAATTAGTAATCATCACAT